GGCTGCTGGCTAGCAACCCCTTGAAGGCCTCCAGACGAGGGGAGACCCCACCTCCTCTGGGGGTTGGTGCAGCTGTTGACATGAGGGCAGATGACAGATGCCCCCCCCCCCATCAGATGCAAGGAGAGCTGTTCTGGGGCAGTCCAAGGACATCTCCTCAGACCCACATTCTAGAGCCTTCTGTTAGGACTGACCAAGTAGAAGTTGGTTTGGGGAAGATGACCCCTCAGCCAAGGACACCCCCCCCCCTTTCCTAGGAAAATCTGAAGCTGGGTCAGGTAGGGTCTGAGCTGCATTCACGGTGTTTCAAGTGTTTTCATTTTGATTTATTTATTCATTCATTTAGAGAATAATCAACTTGATTGGCTGTCCATCCTCCCACAGGGCAATCCAGGGCAGCCTACAATTTTTTTTTTAAACAAATATTCCTCCAGAAGTCTCCCCCATCTTGCTTTGAATTAACCTTGTTTTTTATTCGGGCAATTTAGTTGGTGATGGAAATTTTGCCAATTTCCTTAATTTATTGGGCAATTCGTCATTCATCAGTGTTCCTGATAATCATAGCTTACTGATACTGATCTGCGGTACAAATAAAGATTAAGAAAAGGGCAAAGATAAGTGCAGATTAAGAACACAAAAACTCCATGCAGAGGCACAGTTTAAACGCACAAAAAACCAGCAACCTCCCTCAGCGTCAATCTAGGACGGATACAGTCACATCTATATGAAATTGATACAACCCTTGCATGAAATACCCATTACACACAGCATAGTCAAATGTTATAGGACCCAGAATCAAAGGGCTGGAATGGACCTCAGGGGCCGTTAATGGTTCTCCCTGTCAGAAAATTCCTCCTGACTTCCAGGTTGGATCTCCCTCTTTGATGATCTTCCACCAGTAGTGAAATTCAAAATATTTTACCACCACTTCTGTGGGTGTGGCTTGGTGAGCATGGGAAGGGAAGGATACTGCAAAACTCCATACCCTCCCCACTCTGGGGCCTCCTCCGAATTCCATCCGCCAGCCAGTGCCGACTGGCAAATCCCCGGAGGAAAGCCTTCTCTATGGCTGCTACAGCCCTCTGGAACGATCTCACCATGGAGATCCGGCCCCTCACCACCCTCCAGGCTTTCCGCAAAGCCACGAAGACCTGGTTTTTCCGGCAGGCCTGGGGCTGAAGAATTTCCAGCCCCACTTGAAATGTTATGATCGTTGTTGTTTTAGTTTGTTTGTCTTGTCCTATTTTGTACCCCTTTCCCCTTTTTGGTTGTGAGCCGCCCTGAGTCCCTCGGGAGTGGGGCGGCATACAAATTAAATAAACATAAACATAAACTGATTCCAAAAGCATTTAAAAAACAAAAAGCAAGGCTTTTTTAAAATCCCCCACCCTCTCCTAGGAGATTGTAGTCCTCAGAATGGTGGGATTCAAAAATTTTTACTAGCGGTTCTGTGGGCATGACTTGTTGGGTGTGGCATGGCTTGGTGGCCATGGCAAGGGAAGGATACTGCAAAATCCCCGTTTCCTCTGGATCAG